ATGGCCTCCAACCTAATTGCGATGGCCTCCAACCTAATTGCGATAGCCTCCAGCCTACTTGCTATATGGCCTCCAACCTACTTGCGATGGCCTCCAACCTAATTCCTAATTGCGATGGCCCCCAACAAAATAATATACACATTACGATGCCTCCAACCTGATTGCGATGGCCTCCAACCTAATTGCGATGGCCTCCAGCCTAATTGCGATGGGCTCCAACCTAATTGCGATGGCCTCCAACCTACTTGCCATGGCCTTCAGCCTAATTGCGATGGCCTCCAACCTAATTGCGATAGCCTCTAGCCTACTTGCTATATATGGCCTCCAACCTACTTGCGATGGCCTCCAACCTAAGTACTAATTGCGACGGCCCCCAACAAAATAATATACACATTACGATGGCCTCCAACCTGATTGCGATGGCCTCCAACCTAATTGCGATGGCCTCCAGCCTAATTGCGATGGGCTCCAACCTAAAATTGCGATGGCCTCCAACCTATAATTGCAATGGCCTCCAACCTAAGATTGCGATGGCCTCCAACCTAAAATTGCGATGGCCTCCACCCTAAAATTGCGATGGCCTCCAACCTAAAATTGCGATGGCCTTCAATCTAAAATTGCGATGGCCTCGAACCTAAAATTGCGATGGCCTTCAACCTAAAGTTGCGATGGCCTCCAACCTAATGGCGATGGCTTCCAACCTAATTGCGATCCTCCAACCTATAGTTGGACTGATCACTCATCCATGCGTCCGACATTTCATTCCGGTCTCACTGCAGCCGCCCCAACGTGTTCGAGATGTCTCCACCCCGTGACCTTTTCAAGTGGTAGCGGAGCGGTGGTCTTGGAGCTGTGTGCAGCAGACACTCGAACCGTTGCGTCCATCTCAGGACACCGGTGCTGGCGCAGAGGTGGAGTGAGGCATGGGAGGATCGGCTGATCCGTGGCTTTGTTCCTCTGACCCTTGCCAGCGGACCTGTGGTGGTCAAGTTCATGGTGTGCAAGTTGATGGGACCCCTTGAGCAAGGTGGTCGTCATGGCCTACATGGCATGTAGCGACCGATCCCTGGTGGACGAAGGATCCTGGGGGCCAACAGATTGGAACATCTGGCGCGAGGATGTTGACCATAATGAAGTGGGAGAGGGGCCACCGCGCTGCACCAGAGCCTGGACCACGCGGGAGATTTAATTTGAAAGACATGACGCTCACAGAGAGGCGTTTGACAGTTCGGGCACCTATGAGTGATGGGTTGAAGTTATTGGGGAGGCATTTGAGGCAGGATGTCTCTACATGGGAGATCAGCGCTTCCATGTCGGAATATTGTGCTGACCTGGTCGAGGTGAAGGTTCGAGTGTTGACTGAGGCCGAGATCAGCGACCTCCGCTCCATCAATGGCAAGTTGAGTTGGGCTGCCAGACAAAGTCGCCCATGTCTTGTTCCTGGTGTCGTTTCTTCAACAGAGCATGAAGACACCACAGGTGAAACACCTAAGGATGGCCAACCAAGTCATCCGGCAGTTGCGCAAGGATGTGCCACTCAACTTCGTGCATCTTGGCTGCGCACTCCAGGAGCTGCTGAGCTTATGGCGTGATTCCAGAAGGGAAGTCGCAACAGGGCTGGGCCGTCGGCTTGGCCAAGATCAAAGAGGGCTGTGCCAAGATGAACTGTGTCGAATGGCAGAGTTCTTCATGCAGGCGCGTGGTGCGTTCTTCAATGGCCATTGAGGCGGCCAGTGCGGCATCCATGGGATTTGAGCTGAGCACGGTGAACGACGCCCTCCAAACATAAAGTCTTCCACAACGATCGTTGAACTGCCTTATGAAGGAGAGCTTGCTGGACGAGGCAAATCCAGCTCTGTGCCGATGGGTGCCAGGACCAGAGCAGATCTCTGACGGCCTCACCAAGGACAAGGACAACAAGGCCTTGACGATCTTCATGCTGTCCAACGAATGGAGCCTCAAGGAGGATGTGGCCTGGCAAGAGCAGCGGGAACGCCAGCGAGCGCATCGGGGCAGGGTGAGTTGAAAGATCACTCATCCATACGTTCAACATTTCATTCCGGTCTCACTGCAGCCGCCCCAATGTGTTCGAGATGCCTAATTCCGATGGCCTCCAACCTAATTATCGATGGCCTCAACCTAATTGCGATGGCCCCCAACCATATTGCGACGGCCTCCAACCTAATTGCGACGGCCTCCGGAGTTCATGGACCGCAGCAGAAAGTTGTTATTGACTTGAAAGAAAGGATAATGTATCCACCCCCTTTTCCACTCAATGGCATGATAATCATACGTAAAAGCCCGCGGTCACACCATATGTATGCACCGGGGAGCATGTTTGAACACACTGGAGTGTATCAAGTTTTGCTTCAACATAGTAATCCAAACATGCCCCTGGTCGCTTCAATCCCTGATGGAGCGTCAGCAGAGAACTTGACACTGGCCATTTTCTTTAGATACAACATATATGGCAAGATACCAGGACGACGATAGCCAGGCCCCGCTTGATACATAGACCCACCAACAAATCTTCAACATAGTTTCTCCACCTCGGAATAGTGGGTTCCCTTTCGAGTTCAAAGAACATAGATTCAATGTATTATTTCCCAACCTAAGAGCGATGGCCTCCAGCCTAATGGCCTCCAACCTCAAGTTTCCCCAAAAATCTAGGAACCAAATCATTAGCGCGAACTATCCTGAGTCTAAGTAGTAGCGTTCTTGTAGCTACTAGCTATATACCTAGCTCCTACTACCTCTACTCACGGCCTACCCCCCCACTTCTTGGCATTCCTTTTTGGCTGGTTCCTTGCATGAGGCGGAAGAGAGTACTTCTTGCCGGTTGGCTGGAAGCGCTTTGCAGTGCAGGTAAAAGGTGTCTACGACGAAGGCATCCCGGCGGAAGAAAGTTGGCTTACTAGGAACAATGTTCGCTACTAGGAGCAAAGGGCATCGCTACTAGGAGCAAGGGCGCTACTAGGGGCTCCTGGCATCGCTACTAGGAGCAAAGACGCTACTAGGGGCTCCTGGCGTCGCTGCTAGGAGGAAGGACGCTACTAGGGGCTCCTGGCATCGCTGCTAGGAGCATTCTTACTAGTAACAAGAAACTAGACGTGACCTTTAACGACCTTTGACCTTTAGCTACCTCCAACGACTGGTCGCTTCAAGCTAAGCAGGGCAGGCATGCGCGCGTGACATGTTGCGCGTAGCTTGAGGGCTTTAATACTCTCAGTCTCAGACGGATTGAAGTCATGCTGGCACTCGCAAATGAATGATACTGCATGCAAGAGTTTTCTCGGCCAATGGGCGAGCACTTGCAGAGAACTTGTGGGTCATTGTCGGCATGTTTGTGTTTGCATTTTCCCAAGTAAAGCCCAAGGTGACAATGCATGGTTGCGTGAGGACGAGAGCGGCTGGGCAGTGGCCTACCACGGAACCTCAAAAGAAGGAGGGGTACCAGTCTGGGGCGTTGATGCTTGCTTGCAAAAACCTCCAGCAGTAGGCATGTTAGAGTACTTGCATTTGTTTGGCCAAAAAAGGGCTGCGTTGTGGCTTGTTTATGAAGCTTGGACTTTTGGGGTTGTCCATTGGCTCAAGTTTGGTGCCTCAAGAGCTCTAAAAGTATCACTTGGGTTGCACCACCAGAAGAGGATTGCTCTTAATAGGAGGTGTGAAGTGGACACTTCATGAGCAAGCCATGAGCTAGCCTAACCATGCGTAAAGCCTCAAACACAGTTTTCTTGGAGGACTTGGTGGCATCCTGTGCACAGGCCTTTGTTCGTGGCCGTCGTAATACGGCAGCAAGGATTCGGGATGCTGCAATATGAACTCTTCCGGCTTTGTACCCTGAAAGGTTTCAGAGTTGGCGAGCGGCAAAAGTTTGAAGCAGCAGCAGGCTGCCTTGCTTATTGATTGAACGACAGCAGGGTGCAGAGTCTTGTTCTTCTTGGGCTGACAGGTGCTGGTGTCTACTGTACACCTCGCATTGATGCGCTCGGCCTAGTCGACGAACCAGCGGAGTATGCAGGGACAGGAACTTTATGTGAGCGTCGTTCAAAAACCCACCTCTTCCTTGTTAGTAATCGAATTTCAAAGGCTGATTTCGAGTGTGCTCTCACTGCAGTCGCGAAAGGTTCGCGAAGGTCCTGCGAAAGGTCTGCGCAAGTCATGTTGGTGACCTGGCCACGCTGCAAAAACAATTGCTCTTCAGACTTCCGATTGCTTTTTCCCGGGTTGGGAAAAAGCAAATTGGAAGTCTGAACCATTTTGCTTTTTCCCGGCCCGGGAAAAAGCAAATTGGAAGTCTTGACCATTTTGCTTTTTCCCAGCCCGGGAAAAAGCAAATTGAAGGTCTAGACCATTTTGCTTTTTCCCGGGCCGGGAGAAAGCAAATTGGAAGTCTGAGTCAAATTTGGAAAAAGCAATTTGGTTCGGACTTCAACTTTTTCCCCGAGGCCCAAAAAAATATGCAAACAGCAATTGGTATCAGATTTACAACCTAAAATCAAGGAGCTCTGGCCTAATGGATAAGGCACCAGGATTAGAACCAGAAGGTTGCGGGCTCGAATCTCTCCCGTTGCAAATTATTTCTCCCAGACTGGAGAAAGCCACTGGGAATCTGTGAGCCAAATTGCTTTTTCCCAGCTAGCAAATTGGAAGTCTGAGCCTTTTGCTTTTTCCAGGCCCGGGAACAAGCAAATTGGAAGTCTGCACCATTTTGCTTTTTCCTGGCCCGGGAAAAAGCAAATTGGAAGTCTGAACCATTTTGCTTTTTCCCGGCCCGGGAAAAAGCAAATTGGAAGTCTGAACCATTTTGCTTCTTCCCGGCCCGGGAAAAAGCAAATTGGAAGTCTTGACCATTTTGCTTTTTCCCGGGCCGCAAATTGGAAGTCCGAGCCGAGCCTTTTGCTTTTTCCCGGGCCGGGAAAAAGCAAATTGGAAGTCTAAACCATTGGGACAAAGCAATTGGAAGTCTGGACCAAATCGGAAGTCTGAACCATTGTGCTTTTTCCCGGGCTGGGAAAAAGCAAATTGGAAGCCTGGACCATTTTGCTTTTTCCCGGCCCGGGAACAAGCAAATTGGAAGTCTGAACCGGCCCGGGAAAAAGCAAATTGGAAGTCTGAGCAAACTGGCCTGGGCCGTCTCTTGTTCATGGACATTTCCGCCAACCAAAAACACACCAAAATGAAAATGGTTTGGTTGGCTGGCTTCTTGTTCCTCAGCAACCAATGTGTCAGTGATCAGAGGACGCAAGACGTGCCAGGGCACTTGCATGAATCCTTGAAAGCCTCTAGCCCCAACGAAAAACCATTTTCGCCGACAGTGGTAAAACCCCACGCGCGAAAGCTTGCGAAAGCTTCGCGAAGGTCCTGCGAAAGGCCAGGAACATAATGAAAGGACTTTTGAACAACCCCCATGTAACGATTGAAAGTCTGAGTTGTAAAATAGATCTGCCTACTGCCATGTCCAGTCTGAGTTGTCCTACTGCATACTAGTGTCACGCTTGGACACTTGTCCATTGCATGGCTGCCGATTTGCTAGCTGCTGCCATCCCATGTGACAGCTCCAAACTAGAGGACAACATTGTCACTTCTCCAACTCAATCTGGCAGCTTTGGCAGGTAGGTATCGCCTTGAAAGCATAATGGTAGCTGGTAATGTTGGTTTAATGCCTTGCAGTTGTGGCGCCCTGGTCACCTGTGGACACACCGTGCGGATCGGTGTGGGTCATCGGCAGAAGCAAGCAACGCTGGGTTGATCAGGATTCCGAGAAGTTTAAGACTAAAGTTACTAAAGTTACTAAAGCCATGAACCGTTGGCAGTAAATGAATCGTTCACAGTGCTCCCGGGTCAACCTGTCAGGTGGCACAGCACTATTCGAAGCCAACGCTGCTACGAGGTGCCACAAAGGAAGACCGATCTTTTTGTAGAGTATATATATATATAGACAAACATATCATATCATATATAGACATAGCGAAATCAATAAGGCTAGCGCCCAGGTATGCAACTAAATTTGTCCTTCCTAGCCGCAGGGCACAGCGTCCAAATTGTGCTGCAACTGCGGGTTCGGCCTGGTGCCATTAACCCCATCACAGACCCGAGCGTGCTGACCTCAGTGTGAATAGTGTGAATGTCAAAAGCTGAAATCCTGCAAGCGTTGCCTTGTCGTGTTTTTGAGACTGGTGGCTGTACTTTGAGGCACACGAATTCGAGCGAAAGTATTGGGTCATCAACAATCCTGACGACATACGTGCTTACGGTGTGCTCATCAGGCTGGCACTGCATATTCTTGATCGAAAACTGATAGCTTACTTTGCATCCAACAGATTCATCAATAATCATTTCACAACCACAGAAATCCAACGGAATATTTGGAGGATGGTTGCTTGTCGTAAGACCTTCCAAGATGACGAAGGCTCAAATCTTTTAGCACCTTTCCTGGTAACGTTGATAGCTCAGGGAGCTGCCACTGCGGGACTACATTTTGCCTGAGGCGCGAATCAGACCACAGTACTAACCAACAACAATGAAACAGGAACCATGGCACAACAACATAATTATATAGTCTGCTTCTGGTTCTTGCGTGTCGGAGTCTGCACTAAAGGTGATGGTTTACGGCCGAGACCACCCTGGGATCCGTTGCCTGACCACAGATGCTGGAAGATTTTGAACTGTCGTGAAATTGTGCTGACTTTGACTGCAATGACTGGACTATTGAAGGACAGTCAGGACAGTCGAATAATATATTGGGACTCTTAGACTTAGACAGTAGCATTTCTCAGAAGCTCCCTAGGTGCCAAGATCGACGAACTTGAGGAAGAGATTCGCCAGCAGGGGGGATGACGCGGTGTGGCTGCGATTAGATTGGCCAAAGTGCCTGAAGCTCCGAAGCCGAAGACTGGGACCTTCACGGAACAATTGGATGGTTGGATCGGGAGCTTGTCGAGCCAAAGCTTTATGGGAAACTCAAGCCAAAGCACCACTTTAACAAGCTCTATCAAGTCTGGCTTTACCACTGCTAGTTCCTTATTTTCTGAAGGGTTTAGATGCTAGGGAGCTTGCAGTGAAATTGTCAGTGAAGGTTGTCAGACACGCGTTGCTTCAAATTCTTAGACTGTTGTACTTTTTGCAACTTATTCCTGATTCTTAGTGAGGAAGGTTTTGCATTGGTTCATTCTCAGAAATGCTTTGATTTCCTATCCCACAACCATGCAGCACTCTTGCAGCGCTTGAAACGCCTAAAAGGGCGGCGCAAAGCTGGTTGCAAAAAGCAAGTACAGACGCGTGACACCGTGGACAGGGTGTGGAGACCTGGCTTTCTTTAATCCATGTGGTCTGTGCGTGCTCTCTCTGTAACGCAGTGGCGCCCTTTAGATTCCCGAGTCACTGCAGTAAGACCCATTCGTCTACAGATTGAAGTGGAGTAAAGACTCTTTGTTCTGGCTACTGCTGTTTGCATGAAAGGCCTGAAAAGGTATATATCATTCAGATTCATTATATATATATAGGCGTTTCTAATTTGCGTGGTTTCCTGCCCTGGACTGAAATGGCTGCATTCGCACAAGATGGAGGCTGCTACTTGCGATGCCTAGTGGGCCTTCACTGGATGGTCGTCAGGCTGGGATCCGATGTGATTCTGTGAACCCCGGGGAACCGCAGCAGACCCAACAAGCAAGAACAAGACTCATTTTCCACAAAGCCATCGAGTCTCTGGCTCCTGAGTGCTTGCCTTGAGTCGAGCGACGGGCGTCAGGTGTCCTTTTCACACCGGCCCTACTCTAACGCCCAAGCGAGACCAAGAGAACGTCATGCGTTTTGCGTTGTGTTCTATGGCCTCTTTCGGAGAGTGACCAGTATCCAAGAGTTCCTTTTTTTAGTAAGGGGGTCCGCGATCATGTGACCACCAGCAACCCAACAAAGTGATCCCCCTGATCTATAAAGATCATTATTCAATATCGCAACATCAATTGCCGTTCTCTGGTCCCCAACCTGAGAGTACGTGCAAGCCAGATTGTCGATGCAGTCGTATAGCGACCGAGAACCAACCACTGAGACGCCGTTCCCAGTCTTTGGTCGTGCCCATAAGTTCGAGAAGGAGGTAGCGGTGCCAATGGGTATGGCCAACTGCGCTGCTAACCCTCGTCAGCCACGCAAGGCAAAACGTGGTTCCAGGAAGCCAGCATCAAGGACAGCAACCGGAAGGGAGAGCCGGAAAGAGCCGACCGAGACCGGAAGGGAGAGGCGGAATCAGCCAGCCAGCTGCAAAGCGCCGCGAATTGCCACAATCAAAATTGTCAGGAAACCCGCTGCGAAACTGCCGCCCTCGCTTGTAAGAAAACAGCTGCCATCAAAACGAAGACCTTCACAGGACTCCGAGCCAACAACGAAACATGGCCAGGAAGTGTGATCCACAGTCAGTCCCTGCCTCTTCCTTCTGCCTCCTCCAAGCAGCGCCGTCGGGGTTCATCAAAGCGGGTGGCAAGTGAAATTTATAACCAGGTTTGTCGCCATCCAATTAACGGTCGGGGGAAACCTGAGAATTGTGGACAGGTCAATTCCCGCACAACCACCGCCCCCCCTCCCCGTGGGATTTGCTAGAACCATGCAAGGCAAAAGCCAGGCACGTCATGAAGGGCTTCAATGAAGAAGGCTCCGAAGACATCGAGGCCACGAAGCCTGTCGCCAAAAGAAGGCACGCTCATGGTCACCGCTGGAAGCTGGGTTTCCTCGATTTCACCCAAGCATACGCCACTCCACCTCGTGAAGGGATACCGGGAGACTTCAAAAAGTTTCTGACCAACCAGCTGGCCTACCAACAGTCGTTGGCGTTGGCTGACCCGTGCATCTACAACAAGCGCAAGAACTCGCATTGAGTGATCTCATCGCTGTTGCCACGGATGACTTGTTGCACGGTGGAGACGAAGACCATCAACAAGCCATGGAACAAAGCAAGACCAATTGCGAAATTGGCGAGCTCCAGTATGGATCAGGAAAGTTCACTGGAAAGAGGTTTACTCAGCAGAGCAGGAAGACTACAGCGCCAAGAGAACTACGTACAAGAGAAATTGTTTGAGATCACCTTGAAAAAAGACGGAAGAACACGAGATACACATTTTGTGATGAATAAGAGGTCTCGGAGCTCCGAGCCAGCATCGGCGCCAAGGAGAGCAGGCCTGACATCGCAGGACGGGTGGCGCTACTCCAGCAAGTCTTTCCAAAGCCAACAATCAAGGACATCCTATAGGCTAACTCCATTAGACAAGAGGCCAGAAAACAACCCTCAAGTGGCACCAAGATCATGGCCATTGAACCAAAGAACCTGAGAATTGGAGTAGCGACCAATGCGTCATCGTCCAATGCTGGCAGCCAAGAGCAACTAGAAAGTGGCTCACACGACAAGACTACTGGGAGAAAAACCACAAGATTGGACTCATGTCACACCTCGAAGAGTGCCTCTTCACCCAGGAGAGGTTCCAGGTCCTGGTCTTCTTGAAGAGCTACTAGAAGATGAGTGGACCGAAGCCCACTCACAGTCTCCATCACAAACTTCATCGCTGCGACATGAAGTCGTGCGCCCTGCGCCATGTACCGGCGACTGACATTCAGCGCTCAGGGTGTTGACGATGTCACTGAAGCCATGTGTGGCTGGTCTTCAGTCTCCATCCTCTTGTCGTAGAAGATCATCACGTAGCCGCCTTGGCTACTGCAATTCATGAGCTGGAGGAAGGTGTCGAAGATCTTTCCATGTTCCAGCCTGGTAGTTGTTTTGTGAATATGGTTTAGCCTGTCCATGACGTACCAAGCCACGTGCTGGTGCTGTTGCCGGTTTTGTTGGGTGACTCCACTCCACTCCACTCCACTCCACACTCCACTCCACTCCACTCCACACTCCACACTCCACACTCCACGCTCCACACTCCACGCTCCACGCTCCACGCTCCACCCTCCACGCTCCACGCTCCACACTCCACACTCCACGCTCCACTCTCCCCACACTCCACTCTCCACTCCACTACGAACCATCGGAACCTCATGAAGAACTTCCATTTGCCGGACTACCAGAAGGAATCCGAGAACCCTCGCCCTCTTCCTTCTCCACTTTCATCGTCTTCTTCATCATCCCGTTCAGGGCGGTGCCTATGAAGTAGCGGACCGTGACCTTCTTCTGAAGAAAACGTTGGAACCAAGCGAAGGTGCGCCGGTCAAGAGCGTCCTGCCCCGAAAGAGCCAGCCTGGCGATCCGCTGCCAGGTGCCAGGTGGCTCATCCAAGTCACCATCCGAAGGCGGAACGGCCTGCCTATCGGCAATCCCAAAAACCTAACGCAATGGGGGCTCAGTGCCCACCAAGAACAGGAGTCTTCCTAAAAACCAGCCCGGTCGAAACCGGACTCCGTGAAACTGGGGGAGCCGCAGCAGACCCAACGAGCAAAAATTAGACCCTTTTTCCGGTAGACGCAAAGCGAGTCTCTGGCCCCTGCGTGCTTGTTTTGGTCGAGCGACAGGTATTGTGAGAGAACTGGAGCAATGATACACAACAGCTTCAATGAGGGTGATTGGAATGATGATTTCCACAGCAGCTTCCATGCTGATGAGCAAATGACTGCCTTTGTTCCTGAAAGTCCATGATGCTGATCTCAAGCAAGAGCAGCAATTTGTTCACCGTGATACCACTTTTGAAATGCTTTGTGACAATCATGGCCAAAAGAGTTCATGCAACCAGTGGGTTTTCCGCAGCTTTCCTGGTCTAGGATTGGGAGCCCGTTGCTGGAGCCTTATCAGCCCGTGTCCGTGGAAAGCAAGGGCCTGCTACTGTACTTATTCTAACAATACCCTCGTCTATCCTGCTCGCTGCACCAACATTTCTGGTAGAATCTGCAAGTTGAGCCAAGACGTTAACATTGTGGGAAAGCTGCGCCTCCTCTAAGGTGTGGCAGAAAGCTGCACCAAAGGGAAAGAGTGCGAAAAGCGCCACAGAGGCAAAGAAGGAGTGTGGGTAAAAGAAACGAAACTAGACAGATATCAACGAAAATGTGCCATGAGAAAGAGAGAGAGTTAGAGAGAGGGAGAGAAGGAATATCGACACTAAGAGAGAAAGAGAGAGATTGAGAGAGAAAGAACCATGTAGAAACCGAAGACAAGTGAGTCAGAGTGTTTGAGAACACTAGCGACATAGGTATGTAGCAACGTCTTGGGTTGAGAATCCATAAGTTGTGATGTTTGTTGCTAACTAGAAAATTATGGGAAAATGCTAACCTGCAAACCAGCAAAGAAATTATATCAACTGTGAAACGGGAAGTGTAGGAGAGGCAAGCTACCTATTCTGGACACAAATTCAGCAGGTGAATGCTGCTCGGCGAACCGGCGGCTATGTGGAAACAGACAAGAAGCGTGTATCTGAGTTTTCGGGGTTTCTTGTACTGCTGATAAGAGGTTCCTGAAGCAACGACCAAGATGTCTCAGCAGAGTGGTCAGACTGTTGATGTCATTATCCTGACCCTGGACTAGACGTGCCATTTTCAGGGTGTGGACGCAAAATGGGCCAGCTTTGCAAAACTATATGTTATATTATATTAAATTGTATTATACTATATTTATTAAACTATTTTATATTATATTCTATTCACTTCTATTGTATTGTATTGTATTATCTTATATGGTATTATATTATACTACATTTCTGTAATATGATATTGTATTGTATTGTATTATATTACATTACATTACACTATATTATATTATATTATGTTATATTATATTATATTATACTATATTATATTATATTATATTATATATTTTTTTGTTGTATTTTATTACTATATATATATATATACGCAGTATATATAAAGTCGCAGAGCTTGATTTGAGGCCATCCTGCGACACCTAATGTACAAAAATAATGCACAGGAAACAGCCAGTGCCACAACTTTGCCCAGCTCAGGTTTGCTGGTGGTACCAATTCGTTTGG